TCGTCTCGGTCCCAGCCCTTCAACTCAGTAGCAGTTGCCAATAATTGATTTCATGGCAGGAAGATGGAAATTCTCCATTTTCTCATTCTCATTAGTCAGCTAAGAACATCTTAAAAGCTGCAGAGAAAGGGGAAAGCTGCCATGGAAAACAGTGGGGCAGTTCCTCAGAAAAAAATAAAAGTCGAATTATCATATGACTCTGCCCTGAGGGTCCAGAGAGAGCACAGAGCTTGCAAGCAAGGTCTCAGATAGTTAAGCCAGCTCTTCCACCAGCCCCTTTTCAACTGCCTTTTGCACCACCGTCTGGATAGATGGTCTTAAACCTCAGACAAGACTAATTACAAGTGGCCAGTTGATCCTGTAATTCACCGATTTGTCTCGTCTGGCTATGAGATTAGAGAAAATTATGCTCTTAAAGCAGAGTGTGAAAAAACAGAATGGTAGGTAATGTGGTGGAAGTTTTGCTTTGCGTGTGGGTCTGTATGGACGTGTATGAAATGTACATACATCTCAGAGGGACAATAAGGGGAAGAAAATGAAGACATAATTTGCCATTCTCTATGCTAAGTTCAATTTCATAACTCAGCGGTAAGCTCCTCTCTCTAAATGAATACTTCAATGACTTTGTAAGGAAACTTAGGTAATTTAGAGAGTTACATTATTTATAATATTGTGAATAACACTGAAGTGAGCCCCAGCAACTGTCTTAAGTTTTAGGTATGCCAGTTAACGGGACCTGCCCTGCTAAGGCCTGGTTAGAGTGATGTTTCCATTTCAGCATCCTCCAGGAAGAAAGCTCCACTATAAAGGCCTTGAATATGTGGGAAAGTAAAGGAACTTTACTTCATATCCAGTTTTTACTTCGTTGTGTTTTTAATCAAGCTCTTGCATTATTATTAAAGTACCTCTATTGACACTGTTAGATAAATTGTAAAGTTCGCATAAGCTACCATTTTAATCATCATTTCTCCTAGGGTTGCTCATTTCACTCAGGATGTTGAAATTAACACCTTATAGAAAAAAAAAAAAAAAGACTTAAATCACAAAAATTCCGTTTGCTTCGTTGACCCCCCAATCCTGGAAGAATGAAAAAAAAACCTGCGATTTTTTTAAAAATGTTAATGGCAGAATATTTGTTTTAGCTGATGAAACAAATGTTTATGGTGGCCTAGTTGGAGAATAAATGACAAAAGCACTTTTATAAAATAGCTGTTGTAGTTATATAATTTATTTTTTTCCAGTGTGCTTTAACATTTTGTGACTCTAAAGGTGTGAAAGGCATGGTTATCCAAAACAAATAGATGTGAATAATGCTGGTATTAAATGTCATGCCTTTCATTTTGTCACTCTGGGAAATAAAATGAAAATGAATTTTCTATTCTTTTTTTTTTTTTTTTTTTTTCATTTTCTCAGCTGGGCTGTCCACAAAAGTTTCTGGTATTCTTGTTTTTCCAGTGAAAAATGGAAACCTCAATTGCTTTTCGATATTTTCACAATTATATAAATTAATACTGACCCTCAAAACTCTTACATATAGGAAAACTACAGCTGGAAACAGAGTGGCATTTTAATGATAATTAGCGAAAAAAAGGATATGAGATTCCTTATGATTTGTAAATGATGCTTAATAATTTGAGCAGAGAAAGGTGGTAAATTTTTGTCTGCGTTGGGAGTGTTTTATGCATACCTTTTGGTTATGCATAACTTTTGGTTTTCCTTTTGTTTAGTTATTGCTTCTTAGTGTTTTCAAAAGACAGCATAAAACATTTGAGTTTGTTTTCAAAAGGCAGGATGTAAAGTGCAAGCTTATTAGATTTATATTAGACTGGATTCAAGCTGGCTGCAGTCTTCTAAATTGGTATTGCTTAGCCTTTGTTGAGAGATAGTTTGGGTATTGTCAGTGTTTTGGAAAGCCATTTCATAAGTACTGCCTTCAGAAACAAGGTGAGATGCCAAAGACAGATATTTCAGAAATATAGGTTCAGTGAGCTACCATCACTGTGATACTCAGACCAATTATATTATCTAAGTGAAATGTCTCCTAAAACATGGCTACCTATTTGACTTTAATGTGTTTCTACTGTTTTATTAGTTGATGTAAAGTCCCCTGGAAGTGTAAATTTAGGTAATTTCTCATTGAGTCCTATGTGCCCAACATCTATTAATGTCTCTTTAGTACCCTCCAGGATATGTGGTTTTTTGTTTGTTTGCTTTTGAGACAGGCCCTTGTTCTTTTGCCCAGGCTAGACTGCAGTGGAACAATCATAGCTCACTACAGCCTCAAACTCCTGGGCTGAAGCGATCCTCCCACCTAAGCCTCCCAAGTAGGTGAGACTACAGGTACACAACACCATGCCTGGCTAATTTTTGTATTTTTGTAGATATGGGGTCTCCCTATGTTGCCCCAGCTGGTCTCAAACTTCTGGACCCAAGGGATCCTCTCACCTTGGCCTCCCAAAGTGCTGAGATTAGAGGTGTGAGCCACTAGTTTTATCTTTATTTCCATTTTACTGACAAGAAAATGGAGACACAGAGGATTTAAGTAGCCTGCCTGTGATCACAGCTAAGAAATGGCAGAGCCAGGATTCAAACTCTAGTTCTAGAGAAATAGAACTAATCATTAACCCATTTTCTTCATACCCAGGATTCTGGTTCTGATGTTCTTCACCTCCTACATGCAGTTCTGCTGCACCCTATTCCAGAGGCTAAATGTTCATGTCATCTCCGTGTCTGACCTTGTAACTTCCTGATTGGGACCCAGACTAAACTACTCAGCAGTGAAACTGTTATGAAATACCAGGGATTTGGTCTAGGTCCTGCTGCTCACTGCACAGAAAGCCAATCACTGAGAAAGCAAGTATTGCCAGGGAAGAAGGCTATCCAGGTGCTGCAACCAAGGCGGTGGGAGATAAGTCTCAAATCCATCTCCCTGTCTGACTAAAAGTAGGGGTTTATGTAGCAGGGAATAAATGTAACTATGCATGGGAAAACAGAAATCAGGGAGAAGTAAGGAAGAGGAGTTGGTCAACAGGAAGCAGGGGATCAGTGAGGCATCATGATGGGTGTTGGATCTGACATCTTGTTCAGATGCAGTGATTCGGTAAGTCTCAGTTTCTTGATGCTATCTGAAGTCCTAATGGTTGGTTTCCTGAGGAAAGAACTCAGATAAGACAAATGTAACCATCTCAAGTTTTAAGACTGGGAAAATCAGGTTTTATGATTTTTCAAAAGAAACCATAAACATCAGCTCTATAGGACAATTGGGTCAGTTTAAAAATACCCTTTTTTTTCCCAGAGGTTTGCAGAATATTTTGTGTGTGTGTGTGTGTGTGTGTGTGTGTGTGTGTGTGTGTGTCCAAGCTTATTTTTTTAATTTAAGTTCTGGGGTACATATGCAGAATGTGCAGGTTTGTTACATAGGTATACATGTGCCATGGTGATTTACTGCATCTATCACCCCGTCATCTACATTAGGTATTTCTCCTAATGCTGTCACTCCCCTATCCCCCACTCCCTGCTATCCCTTCCCTAGCCCCCCACCTACAAACAACTTTATTAACATAGATGATGACCTAAAAACAACTTTATTAACAGAGGTGATGATGTATTTATTTTTTATTTACTAGGAATAAGTAATTGATATATTGTTGATGTATTTTCAAGTTTTCAAGACTGGGTACCTTTCCTCCTCTCTTTTTTATAACCACAAAATATCCTCACAAACAACATAATTAATATAAATTTTATCTCTTACTTTTTGAGATACACCTACTTTTGTGTCCATAGCTTGTCTTAGCTCAATTCTATGCGCTGAGCTGAACACCATACATATTACCATTATGCTGGATCCCAGTTTTGTGAAGTGAATTTGCAACACAAGGTATGGAATCAGTGTCCTTCAGCATGTGTCTTCCCAGTTTTCATAACTGATGGCATAACTTTATAGGGTTCACTAGTAGCATTGTTATGATTTATACCATATTACATTTACACTATATTACATATAGTATAAATATATACCATTTATGTATTCTATAAATAGTACATAGTATATACTATATACATAGTATATAATAGTATGTATTTATAGATAGTACATAAGTAGTATATATACATTGTATATAAATAGTATACATGGTATATAAATAGTATAAACATATGCTATTTCTATACATAGTATAGAAATAGTGCAAATATAAATGTTTATAAACATATTTTTAAATAGAAGTATAAATATGTGTACTATATTATACATAGTATAAATATATGCAATATACTTGCTGCTCAGTGGAAAATAAGAATTATTTGCTTACACTTAAGTAATACAAAGTATTTTCTAGGATAAAACCATGTATGAATTCCCCTTTCTTTAGAGCCAAAGGAGAAAAATAAATTGTCTTCAAATATAAGGGCATCACTCATTGCGTGATCCATCCTTTACAGACCTAATGGACAGTGACACACAGTGTACCCTCTGATGGAGAATGTCAACAGGAAGTTGAGTGTGAATAGCCCTGCATTTAGTAGATCAGAAGTTATTTAACTACTCTGAAACTAGATGCTCCTATGTGTTAGGAATAAAAACACCCATCTTAGCAGGTTTACTCACATTGAAATATGATCGTGTAATATGCTTAGCCCCGTGCCTCCCTGCCTCCTAATGTAGGCACTAAATAAAGAATAGTTATCATTGGTTCTTAGTAGACTGCCATTGGAAACGTGAGCGGGTTTGGAGAAGTGGCCATTAGCAAAGAAATCATAATGGAAAGAGGCTAGGAAAATACACAAAGCCAGCACTGTCTTATGGGGTTGCCTACAATATAGGAAATAAGGGAAAATTAGGGCAAGAAAATCTCTGTTCTTGACTTCGAACCTGCTTAACTTCTCTAATGCATAATTTACCTATGGATTCAGAAGTGTGACTGCTTAAGAATAAGTGGAAACGGCTGGGTGCAGTGGCTCACGCCTGTAAATCCCAACACTTGAGGAGGCCAAGGCAGTCTGTAGACTCCCATGTCCTGTCCGTCAGGGGTACTGAAATATTTCTTTAGAATAATTGCCTCATGGAACACCAGTGTAGAGAGAATATAGAACTAGAAAAAGAGCGAGATGTCATTTGTATGTAACATGGGGTGAAGAATGGCCTTGAAATGACAAATCTGAAAGCTTTTATGACCTGGAAGAAAATTTGGGATGGGTGGGAGTAGCACGTAACATCACAACATTAATTTGGAAATGCGTTGCAAGCCAGAAGGCAGCAGGTATTAGCAATGTGGTTTTAAAAAGAGCAACTCCTGTCAGACTAATGCATTCTCTCTCGGTGACAGAGTAGATGGAGGAAAAGTGAAAGATGTGACCTAGATTGATTTTAGGAAGGTTGCTAATGCATATCCATAAGTCACACCTGTGGGGCCACAAAGAAATAATTTTTTGCTATTCAGCTCTTGGAGGGGCTACCTCATTAGAGCACATGTAAAGTGTGTTTAATTAGGAATTAAATGGTTATAGTAGACTTGGTAAAGAGGGTTGAATTAAGAAATATTCTATAGTGACCAGTAATATACCCAGTGCTCGTTCAACATGTTCCATATAATCTGCAAGATGGCAGGAAACTCAGAAATGGCCAGATTGGTGGCAGGGGTAGGAGGGAGGGATGAATTTAGGATCAGAGGTCAAAATGATTATGATTATATTTAGAGGCACAGTCAGAAATAATGTAGTAGAAGATAATGTGAAAGGCAGAACGGCAGGGCAGAGAGGACATACTGGGTTTGTGTGTGCTGGGGATGGGGGTTGAGATAGAGTCTTTCTCTGTCACCCAGGCTGGAGTGCAGTGCTGCAATCTTGGCTCACTGCAACCTCCACCTCCCAGGTTCAAGCAATTCTCCTGCCTCAACCTCCTCCCTAGTAGCTGGGATTACAAGTACTGCCACCACACCCAGCTAATTTTTGTATTTTTAGTATAGACAGAGTCTCACCCAGTTGGCCAGGCTGGCCTCGAACTCCTGATCTCAAGTGATCTGCCCGCCTCAGCCTCCCAAAGTGCTGGGATTACAGGCGTGAGCCACCACAGGATACTTACTGTTTTATGGGTAAGGACTATGATGATGAATGCATGCCTAGAGGGCCTACATGCTGAGTTTATCTGGGAGTGGCATTTATTCCCAAAAGTGTACCTTATTCATAATTTCAATTTGTATGTGAGATTCAGGGGATACATGCGCAGGTTTGTTACCTGGGTACATCACATGATGCCGATGTTTGGCTGTGAGATCCCATCACTCAGGTAGTGAGCTAAAAGCGGTATCAAATGGGTTTCTTTCTGAGCCCTGTAAATTGGTTCTTTCTTGACCAACTACCCTTTAAGTAGAATTAAGAGAATATCTTGTAAGTATAAAGCTAAAAATCAATAGGCCAGCCACAAGATGAAGTAACAAAGCACATTGTTTCAAGCTCAGGGTCTTAGGCTTAGTGGAGCAGGGATCTGATCTGAGCAATGCAAGTAAAAGAATGATTAGAGACATTGAAAAAGCTTTAATGATGGTTAAAAGGTTGGGGAAAATAAGGCTTCCAGGCCAAATAAAAGTTGAATTCAGTGTGGAAAAATGTTGAGATAAGCTATTAATGTTAAGTACGCAAAGACTCTCTAAAAGCACATGGATGTCAGCTGTTCTATATTTCATTTGCTGACAAGAGGATAAAGTCTTAACTGAATGAAGGATTTGCCTTGCATCAATTTGGAATAGATTTAAAAGAAGATAGTATGACTATTACTAAATATGGAGATAAGTTAGTGGGGGAGGGTGTGTGTCTCCTTCTAAGAGATCTTTAAATCTATGAGCAATTGTGGTTGGAGAATAAATACATGTTAGGCATTTATAGAATATTTGAGTTTGAACTCAAAGTAGAAAATGAAGATGAGCCCCTTTGTCTCTTTCAACTATGCATCAAGATTGGCATTTGTTTTTGAAGGACTTAGTCTTTTGCAAGACAGTTTTCACAAGGAGTTGGGCAACGTGGAGCATGCCTGTAATCCCAGCTACTTGGGAGGCCAAGGCAGGAGGATCCTTTAAGCCCAGGAGTTCAGATCTAACTTGGGCAACATAGTGAGACCCTGTGTCTTAAGAAAAAAAGATTAAGGAAGGAAAGACGGAGGGAGGAAGAAAAGAAAAGAAGGAAGAAAAGAAGAAATTTTAACTGGCATTTTCTTCTTCCTACCACAGCTATGCCTTCAGCTGTCTTCTAACTACCATCTAAGTCCTTATAATAAGGACTTACAAATCCTTACGTCTAAGTCCCTTACAGTAGTGTTTGTAAATTCTTTCTGTATTTGCTCGCCTAACAGTCTTCCCGGTGCCTCTCAGCTCTGTGACTGGACCATGTCTACCCTGCTCACTCACCATTGTGTCTCTACTTCCAACAGAGCTTGGCACATAGTCATAATATCTGTAGAATGAATGATGGATGTTGAAAGAATTACAGCACAGAAGGTTGCAGGCTTAGAAGGCTGTCGTTTATAGAATGATTTATGGAGGCTGGAATGTCACTAAGATGTATTTCCCAATCTTTTTCATATTGTTGAAGTTGTACTGCTAGAAATATGTGTTATTTGAATCAAAGAACTTCCTCTGTAAGCATCCTCTTTTTAAATGCAAGCGGAATCCACACAAAAACTCATACATGAATGTTTAGAACATCACCCTTTATAATTGCCAAAAAGTGGAAACAACCCAAATGTCCATCAACTGATGAACTGATAGACTCAATGTGATCTATCCAAACAATGATACTAATACGTGCTACAACATCAGTAATCCTAGAAGTATTACACTATGGGAAAGAAGCCAGTCAGAGGACCACCTGTTATATGATTCCATTTATATGAAATGTCCCAAGTAAGCAAATCCATAAAGATACAGAAACTATACTGGTGGTTGCCTCGAGCTGGGAAGGTTAGGAGGAGATGGGAAATAACTGCTGATGGGTATGTAACTTTGTTTGTTTGGTTGGTCGGTTGGTTGATTGGTTGGCTTTTTGGGATGTAGTCTCACTCTGTTGCCCAGGCTGGGAGAGCAGTGGTGTGATCTCACCTCAGTGCAACTTCCGCCTCATGGGTTCAAGCAGTTCTCCTGCCTCAGCCTCCCTAGTAGCTGGGATTACAGGTGGGCACCACCACGCCTGGCTAATGGATATGGAGTTTTATTGTGGAATGATAAAAATGTTCTAAAATGATCTGCCATGATGGCACAAGCCTTTGAATATGCTAAAAATCAATAGATTTTGTACTTTATTTTTAAAAGACAGCGTCTTGCTCTGTTACCCAGGCTGGAGTGCAGTGGCAAAATTATAGCTCACTGCTACCTCTGACTCCTGGGCTCAGGGAATCCTCCAGCTTCAGCCTCCCAAGTAGCTGGGACTACAGGCATGTGCCACCACACCCAGCTACTTTTAAAATTTTTTTTGTAGGGATAAGAGGTCTCCTAATGTTGTCCAGGCTGATCTCAAACTCCTGGACTCAAGCAGTCCTCCCATCTGGACCTTCCAAGGTGTTGAGATTATAGGCATGAGCCACCACAAATTGTGCACTCTAAATGGGTGCATTTTGGCTGAGCACGGTGGCTTAGGCTGGGTGTGCAGTGGCTCAGGCCAGGCACAGTGGCTCACGCCTGTAATCTCAGCACTTTGGGAGGCCAAGGCAGGCAAAGCACTTGAGGTCAGGAGTTCGAGACCAGCCTAGCCATCATGGTGAAACCCTGTCTCTACTAAAAACATGAAAAACTAACCAGGCATGGTGGCAGGTGCCTGTAATCCCAGCTACTTGGCAGGGTGAGGCAGCAGAATCTCTTGAACCCAGGAGGCGGGGGTTGCATGACCTGAGGCTGGGTCATTGCACTCCAGCCTGAGTGAAAAGAGTGAAACTCAAAACTCCATCTCAAAAGTAAATACATAAATAAATGGGTGCATTAATGGGGGCATCCATCATAAAGGAGATTTCTCTAGCAAGAAAAAGAGCACAAAGGACATGTATGGCAGATGACACAAATTCAGTTTTTCCCACTTTTTAGTTTTGCCTTTTGCTAACTGTGCTTAACAGTTACACTTGAGAAATACCTTTTCAACCACACAAGCACTGTAGAGTGTTGACGTTTTCCCTTGGAAGGTGTGCAGACTCCTCATCTTGCTCTCAGTATGTTAGCTCTGAAGTGTGGATGTCTGCGTGTGTCTTGCCCTTCACGACATGAACCTGAACACTGTGATCTCATCCTGTTAAGCATTGTGTCTGTGTTTATTATCCCAGAACCCATGGTAGTAGGACCACAGATGTTTCCTAAGCTGTCTATTCTTTAATATAAATGAGATAATGGCCTGGGGAGATTTTTTTTCAAGAAGGAGTGCAGACGCTATTATGAGCTTAACAGAGTTGTCTGCTTAGAATATGGTTTTTAAAAAATTAAAACTCAAATGATTTTCAACAACAGTGCCAAGATCATTCCATTGGGAAAGAAAAATCTTTTTAACAAATGATATTGGGAAAACTGGATATCCACATTCCAAAAAAATGAAGCTGGATGCTTACCTTATGCCATATACAAAAATTAATTCAAAATGGGTCGAACATCTAAATATAAGAGCTAAAACTATACAATGCTTGGAAGAAAATGCAGGGGAAGAGCTTCATGACATTGAATTTGCCAGTGGTTTTACAGATATAACAAAGAAACACAGGTGACAAAAGAAAAAATAGATGAATTGGACCTCATCAAAATTTAAAACTTTTACGCATCAAAGGACACTATCAATGGTGTGAAAAGGCAACTCACAGTGTGAGATTAAATGTTTGTAAATCATATACCTGATAAGGGGTTTATATTCAGAAGATATTTTTTAAACTCCTGTAATTTAACTAGAACGAGTTTTAAAACCCAATTTAAAAATAAATCTAGGGCTTGAATAGACATTTCTCCAAAGATGTACAAATATCCATTAAGCATGTGAAAAGATGGTCAACATCACTAGCCATTAGGGAAATGCAAATCAAAACTACGATTACATACATATCACACCCCATCCATATGAGTATGAAGTAGTGTCTCCTTGCAGCTCTGAAAGGGGTCTGGTGATGCCGTGCCTACATTCTATCTTCTGTGAGCTACGACTTATCATGTTGGGTTGATCTGCCCATGCACATCGCCCTCCGTGAGAATGTGACAGCATTTTCCTAATCTGTAGACTTAAACGTTTTTATATTTGCCTTTTTCCTAGTTGTTTTGCCAGTTTCAGCAGTACATGGGGCATTGTAATCTCTCAAAATGTTTTCTAAATTTAACTGGAACCTGTAAGCTAGAATGCAACCAACAAATGGCAGTGCAGCATAAGTCTCAATGTCCCACCGCCCTAACTCAATTCCCCTTGAATCTTTTTGTCACCGAAGTTCTGAGTAGTTTATGTCGTGGATGAATTTCTAGGTTCTGCCAATGCAGTGGTTTATTCCAGGTTATTCAGGTCATCCTAAAGAGGCTTGAGACAGCTATCCTTTTCTGAGTCTTAAGGTTGAACCCATACCTATATCTATGCATGTGTGTTATCTGGTGTCTGAAGTGCAGCTTCCTAACATCTCATTTTGGGGATCAGAATTTTAAGCGACCCTCTTCACCCTAAATCCCCAATCCTGGAGGTTGATATGCAAGTGGCCTGAAAAAAAATGACATTGTCTGCCCCTTGCTTCTGAGGGACTTACAGATACTCTCTAAGTCCTATAGCATGTGTGCATGTC